ACACACACACACACACACACACACACACACACACACACACACACACACACACATGCATTTGGAGGTGCTTGCCAACATCCAGGGAAGCCCCCTTTCCCCCCCGAGCTCTCACCCTCCTGGTTTTCGCGGTAGCTTGGAAAAACAATTCAACATGGAAAACCATTAAAACCATCCCGAATGCATTCCTCAGGATGGACTCCCAACTCCTGGCACCGTTCCGTTGCCCAAGGTGTGGAGAAAATATGACACGTAGGAAAAGCTCGAAATCCTCACTTTATTTATTGGCGTGGAGGAGCGGGTGTTTAATTAGGAAGTTCCCTCGAGGGTTTACGAGACACCCCTGCTTTTGTCAGCTCCTGGAGAACTTTCCTGAACCCCATTACAGCGGCAGCGTAATGACGTTTTATAGGTGTTGCTCTTAAATTGTATGCAGAGTCGGTGAGAACACACACTCACACACACATYAGATTTGGCTGGAGCCACAACAAGGCCTCGGGCCGGTTGTACATATTGTAAACGATTTGACCCATGTTTCTCCACTGAAACAGGAAATATGGTTGTATTAACACATCCTTAAACTGCACACACTGTTTCCAGCAGTGATGGGGGGGTATTAGAAAAGCACACTTAAAGTTCCCATCAGACACACAAATCTGCATGTCCCCGTTGAAACAAGTCAACTTTCTGCTCGAGGAGAATAAGCGCAGCGAGACAAGCGACCATCATTRTGAAAACACCATCTCTCCGATAAGACTGATTTTTCCCTGGTGGTCTCAGACACACAGTGGAACTTTTTTATTTATTTWWTTTTTTTGCCGAGTTATTCCTCGCCACTCTTAAAACCATTTAAACACGGATGTGTGTACCTTAAAAAACAGTGTAACGGCTTAATTTGCTGGCTTATTACAGCCATGTGTGGCGGTGGGGGTTTTATGGTGGWGCAGTGGAGGAAGCACACTGTCTGTGTGCGGTCCTGTCTCCTGCACCCTGTGGGACACGTATCTCTGACAACAGGCTCTCCTGAACTGGGAAAAGCCTCCTCTGCTTGTGAACTCAGACTCTGAAGAATCACAAAAAAAGGTATTTTACTTCTGTAAACTCAAGGCCTGTAATTCTTTTGATGAATAAATGTTTTATGACAGAGTTTTAGACAAAGATCATTTGAAGTTGATGACGGCGTTGTTCCTTTTTTGAGCAAACCTTAAAAGATACATTATTCACTTATTTAATACTGCAAAATGTACTCAGAGTATATGCTGCATGACTCTCAGCTGTATCAGTACTACTGACCGGGTTAAAGCCATTTTTGTGTTATGTAACGCTCTTTAGCTTGGGTGGCCATCTTCTATTGAATTGACTCCAAAGGTTAAATATTTGTTGATGTGTATCCATTAATCACTTTAGCAAAGTTTCATTRAAATCCACCCTCTGATTCATGAGATATTTTCTTAAGAGACAAACAGGGCTGACTCCAAAAAACTAAAATTTCCAGCAAAAATCGTTCACACTGCGTTGCATTAAAACTATGCGTTGTGAGTGAATCACAGCTACAATCACATCAAGTTTTAGCGTACTATCTGTAAAAGCAAACGAACTGGAGTTTTCTTTGGGCTTTTTAAGATCATTTGGCTGTGGCAGCCCTCCTGAATCAGACTCCAAATGGTAATCAGCTGTAGATGTACATCCAATAATTACTTCCTGCAAGTTTCATTAAAATGTGTTCAGTGGTTCATGACATGTTTTGTTAACAGCTGTGAACATAAACACACAGACTCCTTTTCTTTTCAGAAGGAAAAACAGGACACTCAGATGTGACCTGAAAGCTGGAAGGAAAACTGAAGCAGGCTTTACATGATCGCACCATTTCAAACGACAACACCACGGTGTCAGTTTTCAGCCTCCACACCCCCCCACCCGCCGACAAAGAAGACGCTCGGCGATCAAACACTTCGTCATCTTTGATGCTTTAAGGCGCTGGTGGACTCCCACTTTGATGAGGGCCTGCTCGGATCAGGGCAGACCACCGGCTTCTGCTGGAAACTCCAGAAAACAAAGGAGAAGGAGATTAGCTCAGATTATGGCAGCAACTTGAAGATGAGACAAAAGTGCAGTTGTGCTATCCATGTTTGGTCTATGCATCCATCTACACAACCATCTACAGCACTTGTTTCAAAAAATATATATTGTGCACAAACACAACCAGAGCATCTCCATCACATTCACAGAAAAAGAAGAAAAAAAACAGGTCTGGAGTTGCAGCACTGTTACATTATCTCTTCTAGAATCTGCTTGGTTGATAAATTCATGTTAAACAGAACGATAAAACWCAAAGGGAACAACGATGTGTTCACAGCAGCTATAATTTAATGTGTCACCAGTGAAGCAGATAGAGGCAGAAATCACTGAAAGCTGGTTATTTTTTCAAGCCAATTAAACAGCTCTTATCTTATTACAAATTTTAAAAGATTACTAAATTGTAAATATTCACATAGATGTTTTTAAAGGGTCAGGAGAGCATTTGACATTGTTCAAAATACACAGCCTAAATTGACTTTGGGTGTGAAATCATATCATTTTGAATCTACAGGAACACTCGATATTTCCTGAAGGATTAAAATATAAAAAAAAAAACTAATAAAATGTATGATATGGAAAACATTTTTACAGACTTCCTGACTTCAGCTTCACAGCCACCCTTTTTTTAAATCAATTTCTAACTTCAAGTGTATTCAGTGGCGTGTTCAACATTCACTGTGAAAATATTAGTCTGGTGTGACACTGGAAAAAAACTGCGTGGCGTGAAGGACTTTAAATAAGCCTGCATGAAACATTTTCTGCTTTTTGCATCACGTGTGAAAACAATGTGTCGTTGTGGTACGAAAAGGAGTGAAATGGTAACAGATCTACATTTTGATGTTTGTTTTGGTTGACTGGGAGCTGTTGCTTGTTTTAGTTGCTAATACAAATGCCAAATGAGCTTTTAATGATTATATTAGAGTCCTAAAGCCGTGTTGTTGTTAATGAATGGATGTTGTTTCACCTATCGACCACTAGATGGCAGTGCATCCCCAGATAATTTTCAGATCCTTYCTCTTACACAAGATTTTCCAGGAGACAATCCAAGTTTAAAACCCAGCAATGAAAATTTATCTGGGCAGATTTTGTTCTCCTGTCTGAGGCAATCAGTCATCGGATATCTCATGAAATTTAAAAGAAAGAGCATATTTTGAAACATCTCACTTGCATGCACATAATGTGTTCCTACACATATGCATGCCCTTGCAAACATTTTGCGGCCTAATTTGACAGAAAAATATCCTCTGATGGTCATTTCACCTTTTTGTCTTTCTTATGGGTTGCCTGATATTTCCAGATGAAAGACTTTTATCGAAATGAGCGATAAGTATTTC